AGTTATTTTTAGCATTTCAATTTACATTCTAGCTCTCCACTTTTCTAAATCAAGTCATGATTTAATATTACTTTCTGCATGATTTAATACACTTTGCCTAATTGTTATTTGTCTTAATTTTACATATTGGACTTTGAAGAACTTAAGCTTTTAATGGTTTTTTTTTTTTTTTCTCCTTTCTCATTTGTTTATGACTTATAGTATTAGAGGCTGTAGAGGCAAATAACCTAATTGTTCTTCCTTTTTTCGTTAACAATGAAAGGTAACATGTGGGTGTGCAGCAGGAGTTGCTGCAGCTTTTAGAGCTCCAGTTGGTGGTGTATTATTTGCACTGGAAGAAGTAACATCTTGGTAAACACATTTCTTCCTCTCAACATGCTTGAAGGCTGATTCATGTGGTGATAGAATGTTTCTTTCCTCTTTCTCTGTTGATTTATGAGCAAAATAATCTTTTGATATCGTTGTAGTTCGGGTTGGAGTCAAAACACCTGCAGGGTGAAAAGGAATAATTTATTAATCTACAGGGGTTAGGTTGTTAGTTCTGGAACTATAGGGACAATTGAAAAAAAAAAAAAAAGACTAACCCAATCTATTTGAATTTTGTATTTGACATTGAAGGTGGAAGAGTCAACTTTTGTGGCGTGTGTTTTTTACGTCTGCTGTGGTGGCTGTTGTGGTGCGTGCAGCGATGGGATGGTGTAAGAGTGGGAAGTGTGGCCATTTTGGTTCTGGTGGTTTCATAATATGGGACATATCAGAGTAAGGTTTATAATCTATTCATGCCTTCTATGCCTATGTCTCCTTTGAATTTTTAGCTGCTAATGGTTATACTCTTAGTGGCCAAGAGGACTACTCTTTTGGGGAGTTGTTGCCTATGACTGTGATTGGGGTTATTGGAGGCTTATTAGGTTGGTAATTTTAGTCGTACCTTTTTAGTTGGCTTAGCTAAATTTCCAATTCCAAGGATTAGGTTCTATGTTCATCCTTTTGGTTATTCGTTTAGGAGCACTATTCAACCAGCTTACTCTTTACATGACGAATTGGCGACGAAACCATTTGCACAAAAAGGGGAACCGAGTCAAGGTACGCAAAAGTTTAATGATGATTTATGTCTATTATTTCTTCATCCCAAATTACTTCAATCTTTCTCCCTTGAAAAATTTCAGATCATTGAAGCTTGTCTCATCTCAGTATTAACATCAATTATCTCGTTCGGACTACCACTTCTAAGGCAATGTACTCCATGCCCCAAATCTGATCCTGATTTGGGTAATGAATGCCCAAGGCCTCCGGGAACGTACGGGAATTATGTCAATGTAAGAATCAGTACTGCTCGTCTTTTGTTGTTATTTTGCCATTATTGTAATTTTCAATACCAACCCATATCATTTAGCTGGAGCTAGGCACACTTGAAGTTGTTTGACATAAAATCTGCCTGTTTATTACCCTTTTTTTCAGTTTTATTGTAGCAAGGGCAATGAATACAATGACCTTGCAACCATCTTCTTTAACACCCAGGTTTTTCTTTTTTCTTTGTTCAAATTTATGCTGATCTTTTCCATTTCTCTATAATATTCTTTTTTACCATAAATTTATTTTTCCAGGATGATGCCATAAGGAATTTGTTCAGTGCAAAAACGATGCATGAATTCAGTGCGCAGAGTTTATTGACCTTTCTGGTAACGTTTTTCACTTAGTTTACAGCATAACTTTCTTTGTTCACATGTTCTTATTGTTGTACTGTTTCATATTTTCATTAGCTTACTGAAAATCCCTTCATTTTAGAATTAATAAAGAATAGAATCACTAAGTTGTGCTATGTTATTAGGAACTTAATTATATGATTGTTTTACAATATTCCATCCATTCTTCTACATTTTCAGGTTATGTTTTATACTTTAGCAGTCGTGACGTTTGGTACTGCTGTACCTGCTGGTCAATTTGTTCCTGGTATAATGATTGGATCTACTTATGGACGTTTGGTTGGAAAGTTCGTGGTTAGTTTCTACAAAAAGCCGAACATTGAAGAGGGAACGTGAGTCTTTGCTTATTCTATGAATATTCTAGTTTAATAATTTAGATGTTATTGAGAGAGTGCTGACAAACATGCAAGATCAGATAAAACTATGGGAGTCATTCTCTTGTTAATAAAATTCATGGGAAATACAAGATTTTGGTGAGGCACTCTTGACCAAGTTAATAGGGTCAGGATATACAATCTTTCTCTAGCTAAATCCATTCTAGAAATAAACTGAATCCCAGTGAAAAGGAGCACAAAAGGGTAGACGAACTTTTTCGAGGGCTCATGGGGCTTACAGAAAAATACTCGATTGACAAAAATCGTAGACGAGCTTTGAAAATAAAACTTATGGTTTCGGATAACATAAATCAAAAGTTAATCATTGGCAAATAAAATCATGAAAGATCCAATCTTACTTTATGGTATCTTCATGTGATAACAATCTTTAACGTTCTTCCAAATCTTACTGGTTTTCTAGATATGCTTTGTTGGGTGCTGCATCGTTTCTAGGAGGCTCTATGCGAATGACAGTGTCTTTGTGTGTCATCATGGTTGAAATTTCAAACAATTTGAAGTTTTTACCTCTCATAATGCTTGTCCTTCTGATGTCCAAGGTAAGTCAACGTATATGTATATATATTCATGGATGCATGTGAAAGTTTCTTATTTATATAAGCACTTCAGGCTGTTGGTGATGCCTTTAATGAAGGCCTCTACGAAGAGCAAGCCCTGTTGAAGGGTATTCCGTTACTGGAATCGAGACCGAAGTACCAGATGCGGAAAATAACAGCAAAGGAGGCCTGTGGAAAAAGGGTAATCCTTGCGTATTCCTTAAACTCCTTTGGTAGCATATTGAGTACAGAGTATTATCCAGGCAATGATGTTTCATTGGAGCCCATCCGAAAGAAATATGCTGTACGAAAAGGAAAAATAAAGTTTTGCGTCGAGTATATGCATGGAGGACGATTTGTGTGGTTTAAAGTTGTGAGATCCCACGTGAGTTGGAGAGAGGAACAAAACATTCTTTATAAGAGTGTGGAAACCTCTCCTTAGAAAATGTGTTTTAAAACCGTGAGGCCGACGACGATTCGTAATGGGCCAAAGCAGACAATATCTAATAGCGGTGGGTTTGAGCTGTTACAAATGGTATCAGGGCCAGACACCAAACGGTGTACCAGCAAGGACGCTGAGCCCCCAAGGGGGGTGGATTGTGAGATCCCACATCAGTTGGAGAGGGGAACGAAGCATCATTCTTTATAAGGGTGTGGAAACTCTTCCTAGCAGACGTGTTTTAAAACCGTGAGGCTGACGGCGATACGTAATGGGCCAAAACGGACAATATCTGTTAGCAGTGTTGGCCTGTTACGAAAATAATTGAAATGAGTGGCTTACCTATAATTTTTTTTTTTTTTATATAATGTGTATAGTATTAGATTCTTCCTTACCAATACACTGTTTTCTGTATTTGTAGGTGGTCTCGTTCCCCCGTGTTGTTAAGGTTGCTGATATTGTTAGTATTTTACGGAGCAACAGACATAATGGCTTTCCTGTGAGCATACCTAAATTCTTCTTTTTCTTCTCGTCTATTAACCGATTCTTAAGGCGGTGCTTCTTCTTTGCCCCTTAGGTGATTGATTACTCTCGAAACGGAGAAACACGTGTCATTGGACTAATGCTTAGAAGGTATAGGCTGGAATTGATAACCAACCCAATCTTTTTAATGATTGAAGCATCCCAACAAGCCTTACTGTATGATTGTTGATGCAGTTACTTGTTAGGACTACTGCAGTCCAAAGTAGATTTTCAGCACAGTCCTTTGCCTTCTGATCCAAGAGGATCCATGCCAACCAGGTAAATGGATACTCGATCCGAGTCCCGAGACTATAATCGACGGGTTATCTTCACTTCTCCACCGAGTTCTGACTTTTCTTTTGGGATTTCAGGCATAATTTCAGTGAATTTGTGAAACCTGCTTCCAGTAAAGGAATTTCTATTGATGATATAAATCTTAGTTCAGAGGACTTGGAAATGTACATTGATCTACTCCCCTTTTTGAATCCATCTCCATATATTGTCCCAGAGGATATGTCTTTGACAAAGGTATTTGCTTGATTATTTTGTTTGGTTGGGAATTGTGGTTTCCGTTATCGTCGTATCTTGCATTGTCGTAGGTATATAATCTTTTCCGGCAATTGGGTCTGAGACACGCGTTTGTCGTTCCCCGTCCAGCAAATGTGGTCGGTTTGATCACTCGAAAGGATCTGTTGATAGAGGTAGTATACTCACCTTACCACGTTAAATATTTCAAAACACATCTCGACATTAATAAGATACAAACACCTCAATGCAGGATAGCGAAGATTCGGATGCTATGGAGCTACAATCGACTAGTGTAAGGTCTCTGACTCTCTATGATGCTTTACTTATCTCATAAAACGATGCATCTATTCGGACTTCCGAGATTGTAATGCGATGCTAATGCTTCCATTTAGATGGATTCTTACGATTTTAGTCACTTTAGACGCTGCCAAAACGAGTTCATCATCTAATGTGCCGAAACTGTATAATCTCTTCAAACTCAACTTATTAATCTTGTGTATCGTTACGATGGCATGGCAGAGCTCGGCGTCGAGATAGAAGAATACATACAGCGAATGGGGATGTCGAGAGCCCACTTCTTAACGGACTTTTGGTCAATAACACAGACGGCTGATGAACATCATGCAGCAGCTGCCAAGATTAATATGGTCAGATTACTACTAGTTTATGATGCTTTTCTTCATATTCCCATTAGGAAATATATTCTTTATTGTTTGCTGGCTGGGATTCCAATCCCAAACCAGGTAGATATCTAAAGAACAGAGCAGAACAGAGCATTGTATTATATCATAGATTGTAATGATAAGAGTTGGCTTAGTTTATTTTGTTTATGAAAATGTGTTGGATTCACCAATTTTCATTATTTCCAAAGAACAAAAGCTTCAAACTTACGAAAACGTATGTATAGACGACGTAAAAAGAAACCTCGATGACGAACTATCACTACAAAATGGCTGAAATTTGTTGTACAAAAAAGACTGCAACTTATTGAAGGGAAGGGCTTGGCCAGTGCCCGTTTAAGCGATCGCTAGAACGGATAAGGCCGAAAGCAATAGCCAAAAGCCAGTGCCGAGGCGCAGGGCAGTGGCTTTTGGTGCTTGTGCGGCGGGTGTATGTGCGAGGGGGACAGCCGGGGAGGCCAAGGCGGAGGGCTCTGGGGCGACGGTGGTGGAAGCAAGGCGTTGGACATTAATGTCGACCTTCTGGCCCGCCTGGCAGTGGCCAGGAACGCCGCAGAGGAAAAAGTGATGGCCTCTGGTTTGAATGGTGATGGTGTCGTTGCCGGAAGAGTGAGTCTCTATGGGGTCTGAGACATTGCATGATTTGTACATCCCATGCGTCACTCTCATTACATTGTGGAACTTGGCGTTGTACTCAAATACTGAAAAAAAAAAAACAAAATCATCACTTCAATCATTTCTTAAAAACCCGTAAATTATTTGATGAGATCGCTATAATGAACCCGTCTAACTATAGTTATACCGACTAAAAACTCATACAAATTCAATTTATTGGAATTCAAAAATCAAATTTACATTAAAATTCTCACTAATTTACAAGTTTAGAAGTTTAGTTATTACAACTTTCCATGTAAAATAAGCTTTTAAAATCTCAAAAATTGAAAATTCAATATCTTATTATATTCAAAATTAATTTTATGTCTAATAATTTCGTTAATTATTTTTTAAATGATATTTTTTTTACCTGATTTTTGAAGTTTCTAAAAATGAAATTTAAGAAAATCATAGGCAAAAATGAAATAAAACAAAATATATTTTTGAGTTAATTTTGAATTTTAAAGGAATTAAAAAAATTAAAAAAGGAAATGAAGAAGGTTTGTGGGAATTATATTATTTTAAATTTGTGAAGTGGTGTAAATCATTATGAAGGCTTGAGTGAGTGGGTGGAAAAGCAGGTACATAATGGGCCTTGTAGGGCCCATTATGTGTGGCCCACTATCACATGCTTCCAGCCCACCTAATTCCTTTTTTTTTTTTTTTTTTTTTTTTTTT